GAATTACTAGATATGAAACTGTTTTGCTAACTACTGATTCTTTTGTATCCATAAACCTTTTGGAAAATTGTATGGACAAATCAGACTTTGACAGTTGTCCTTTTTTTACTGTGTCTGGTTCCTTCAGTGGATGAGTCCCACAGTCTCGTACTGTCTGCTATGAGGGTTTGCTTTCTGCCAGGCCACCAGACCCCTGAAGCTGAAGTATTCTTTTCCTAAGTATTTCTCTCTGGATTTTTCCCTCCTGCTGGCAAGCTCTCCCTTTGGGCATAACCTTTCAGCCAAGTGTTGCAGAGTAGCGTCAACAAGAGCTTCTGTCTGAAGGTCAGGCTGTTAACCCTTTCCTACACCAGCTAATGGATGGTTTGTATATCCTGCACACAAGAAAGCATGGGCTGATGAAGGCATGTTTCTGTTTTTTCCCCCTATTTCTAGGGCTAGTCCCAGAGATTTTATCACAAGTTTCGGGGTATCGCGTATCTCTGTTAAGAGCTCAGCTCCTGCAGTCCCATGATTAGTTAAGAATTTCTACTTCTGTATGTTGTATTATACTGTATTTCTAGCTATTACAATGGCGAAGAATAGCCTACAAACAGAACTCAGTATAATGTACTTACCTGGAAAAAAAAAGATAACAAATACAATAAGCTCCAGATCTATTTTTAAAAGAACTCAGAATATGAAGGGCAGTCACACTGTTTTTGAGGCCTACCCTCTGATTTTTAAAGTTTGATGTGGGAAAAAAAAGGATGTAAACTTATAGACTGACTTTTTACTTTTCTAGGCAATGAGACCAATTTCTTTAAATTGTTAAAACAGTTTGTGGCTCAGATCTTTGCTGCTTTGTAATTTTTTTTCCTGTACTGATCTCTGTTGAGCTTTCAGCTGTTAATATCACCAGTCTACATGAACACACACAGTGATCCCAGTGATCCCACTTCATAACTCTCCTCTTCTGACTACCACACTATTTTGGGGGTCCAAAAGCATATTTTAGATTGGGAAGCTCTGTGTGGAAGAGCTTGACTCACCTGATGCTCATGCTGCTACCACTCTTCATTTAGAAAATTTAGAAATGAAGAGTCCAGCAATAGCTTCTAGCTAAAGGTTTGTATCAATGAGGATGTAGTAAATGATATCATGATGTGAAAATGATGTGAAAATCCATGAGCTAGAATGCCAGCTGCTGATCCTAAAAGCTAATTTATTGGTTCTTTTGGGAAACAATGTTTAATACAATGTTAAATACAGCGTTAATGGTTTATTCAGCAGAAGACAAAACGGAAAGAAAAAAGAAAGTGTGCATGAATGAATGCATGTGCTCATCCATGGAAATATGGGTTACAGCCACGCGACTGCATGCAAGGAAACACAGGTGCGGAACCATAATAGTCCACTTGGCTGCTGCTACCAGCGTTAACACAGAATTATTTCTTGGGTACACCCAATAACAAAGCGCAGTAATAGTCTTGGAAAACTCTAAATACAAGGCACTTATAATTCCACTATTCAGTGCCTTATGAATTGCCAGAAGGGAGTCATCTACAACATGGGTCTTTTTGGAATACATCTGAAGAAAAAAAATTAGGAGTCCTGTGAGAGTCAGAAACTAATCAGTTATAGCCCTATCTAAGTCACAATTGTTATGAAATAAAACAGTTGTAGTAATGTCCACCCTCAGTGCACACCCCTTCTGCTCTGGGAGGCAGCTGTGAATGAGGATGGAGGATGTCCAGCTGCATAAAGCCAAGTTTCCAACGCTGTGAGTACGCTACTGCATTTTGTACCGAGAAAACAGGCTCATTGTAACGCTGAACCAGCAGGGATCCACACTGTGCAGACTTTATCCCGGGAAAGCATCATCCAAAGTCAATGAGAGGTTTTCCCGAGTAAGGGGTTTCAGGGCTGGCTCCACGAAAAAAGAAAAATGGGTAAAATAAACAGCCTATGATAATAACGATGAGGTGATGGAAGAGGCACGGGACAGTGACTACATCTCTCTCCTTTGGCACCATCGGAAAATGACGGCGTGAAAGCGTTAGGGATAACTGTCTCGCTTTTAAAGTGCCTGCTGCATCGTGCAGGACGGTGTAAGCACTCGGGACGCGAGTAAATAACTTTCCCTGCTCTTCAAAAATTCTGCTGAGCTCTGTGGAAAACCCAATAAAAACCCGGGGGGTTGGAGCAGGAGAGCGTCGCTCGGCGTTCCTCCTCGGTCAGAGGGCGCCCG